AGTTTTGTACATACGTCTGAATTGATTATATTTATGTTTATTTCAAATCTTATTTTGATTTGCTATTATTAAAATCCATTAATAGAGTATAAAGTGAGAGTGTCTGTTCTTATAAGCAATATAAATTCTCTCTCTCTCTCTCTCCCCTTAATGTACGGGTATGGATAGGATGGTCGGACAGCCCTACACTACGCCAGTTGTATAGACGACGATCGAAACTTCTACAATATGTTAGTAAAAGCTGGCGCTTCTCCTCTATTACCTGATTTCGTAAGTAATAGCATAATATTATATCATATTTTTCTGTCGCATACAATACTGTATATAAATCTCAATACACTTTCACGGCATTCAAGTCGTCAAAAGTGCCGTAAATGACACACATTTTCCAGTCACTCACTTACACACGCACTCTAAACGCAAACTTATTTGCAAAAATAAATTGCTTATCATTTTTCAAGATGATATGTTTACGCTAACATACTTATTGTGTGCGACTTTTTTTTATTGTTGATTTAAATTTGTTTTACTCAATTTTGTCTCCCTATCCGTGTATGCAATCCCTTTCCCTCTCTCTCTCCAAACACACGACTATTTGACACACAATCATACAAATGGTGTCTATTTTTTTGTGCTGAAACCCCATAGAAAGGCAAGAATGCGGACTTTTATCAGCGATTTCCGGACCAAATAAATTTGCAGCAAATCATGAAACGATCTCAACGTCTGAACGCCAACTATGCCATCAATACTGCGAATCGCATTAAATCAAAGTCTCCGTCAAGAAGTAAGTGCTTGTAATCAGTCATACATTACATATACACCGACACTGGATATTAAGGGCTCCTGTAGTACAAGAATCCCTGTATTACAAGTATATGAGAGCCCATACGCGACAGGATTATTATCTCGTAACAAGAATTTGTCAATTTGTTTATCACTTACAATGTGCCCATATTATATGCTGAGACTTATGTCACAAACACTTTACATAATACAAGCAATATCATTTTTAAATACTTTGCCTTATAATGTTCCACTGGAATTATAAATATCAATTTAATTTTAATAACTTATAGTGAATTGAAAAAATATAATGTCTTTTAGGAATGAGAGCTTTAATGTCCAATTTATATACAATCTAACGATATTGCATATACAATATATTACTGCCATAATTAGTTACAGTTTGTTTTTGTTTAATATTAAATTACATTTCTAGATAAACTTGTTCATTTAGTTTATAATTCTAGAATTCCACTTAACATATACGGCATACCTTTCCTAATAATGACATCTTTTGTGTCTATCTGTCGTGAATTGAATGTCAGGAAAGGAAAGGAGTCTTTCGCCGTCCTATCGACTGAAGAGACCGTCAGAATTGAATGGTATGAACGGGAAGAGCAGTGCCGGCACTGACGGCGCCCCCAGTGAGGAGACCC